GATTGATATAGAGAGACAGAGAAACCTAGAGTACTTGTGAAAAATGATTTCGTAATCTCCATTTTAAAAACAGTTAATTTTTGGAAAATTTAAAAATATAATTATCGTTATTCTCAAATCTTATAGATTATTTTTAAAGGCTATTGCTATATAAATTCAAATGCTAATTTTGTCATATGTACTTGCAAACTATGCTAGGGCAAAGCAAAAAATTCAAATATAACTGAATATAAACATATTCTTTTAAAAAGCTCTTAAATATCAAATAGAAATTTTTCTTGAATAAACTTTAATTAAACTGTCGGGAAATAGTGTAAGTATTTAAAAATATAAAATGTGAATAAATTAATAATTGTGTGAATTCAATTCTATGCGTTAATAGAAACAGCCGAGTGCCTGACCTGGATAGAAAGTTCCCATGAGCGTCATGCCGATGGTGAAGAGGATTACGACGGACATCTGATCACATCCAGCGTAAGAGGCTGCGATGATGAACAATCCTGGACCAACAGAAGCGATGGTGGTGCCGAGCTTCCTGACATTAGTCGTTGACAGATGACCCCGTATGATGAGCCAGTCCGCGCCCCAGGAAGTAAGCACACTACAAAACCACATACAGAGGTAGGGCAGAGAAGAATAGTAGCCATTGTCCTGAATGGAGAACTTTAGGACGCTGCTCATGTATTTGGGAAGGTCGGTGACCATGGTAAAGAAGCCCCAGTCGTGGCCTATTTGGGCGGCGATAAGGGCCCAAAGAGGTGCCGAGCGTAAAATATGACGCCATGGCACCGGTGGCGGTTGCTTGTGCGTGTGCGCACTCATGCGCTCATCCAGGTATTTAGCCTCCTCTTCCGAGATAAAGGGATGTTCTCGTGGATTGTTGTAGCACAGGAAGATCCAGAGGAGGAACCAGGCGACGCCGAACGTCCCGAACACGTAGAATACCGCAGGCCAACCGACGCTAGAGTGATGTAAGATCTGACCGGATAGCGTCGTCGCGAACACCGTACCTGCACAACATCTCAACATTTAAAACCTGTCGTCGACACCTGATATTTTGTTTATTCCTTAAATTAATGTGCAATAATTTTAGGACGTGGAATAGGTGACAGTTTACGCATCATATGAACTATATATAGTCTTTGTTGTGTGCTTATTAGATTTGATTTAAGTAATGTTGATATTTTTACTAATGTCGATATTGTTTTACTTTTTTCACTGCACTTTTACAAATACTCCAAAGACTTTTAAATATTTTGGATATATAATAGAGATGTAAAAAGTTAAAAAAAAAAATCGACGATTACGATACTCAAACAATACTCGTATGTCATCGTTTATTTAACGAATATCATATAAAAATATCATTGTTATCAAATGTCATTCTATAGAAAGAATTAGCGTATTTGATATTGATTGATTTGATGCAATAATTATTTGTATTTGTCGTTTATTTTTGTAACAAATGAATTTTTTTTTTTTTTTTTTTTTTTTTTAATATAATAATCCCATTTTTGTATTTTGCATGACCATACTACCTAAGCATTACTTGAGCATCAATTTATGAATTTCTCAATTATGTGACTCAGCATGATTGACGAATAACATACAATTTTATAGTAAATTAATAATTATAAGATATAATACTTATTACTATCGATGATAAATTTATAAGTTTATCATTTTATTATAAATACAAATATAAATATTAATTTACTTTGTAAAAATTACCATTATATTTTAGTTTCATTATATAATCAATCGACACTCGATAAGTTCGTTGGAGTTTTGTAAATCGCATTTTATAATATTATTTTATTTTCATATAAACAATAATATTAAAGTATATGATATTCAATCAATGATAAACAAAAATTAATAGTCTATCGTAAGCTGGTTTCAATGTCATTTTTCAAATATTTACAAACACATAATAATTTGTCAGCTATTATGATGTTAAAATTTATGGTCGAACTAGCATTAGGATTACTACATTTCCAATTTAAAGCTCATTATTACTAATAATAATTTATAGAGAATATCAACAGTTCATTTTAATAAATATGATACTTCGATGTAGTACTGTCTATCACGGAAAATTTCCTTTAACGAAAATAAGATAAAGATTTAAATGTATAATATTGCGTAGTCGAATTAAAACGGATAAAACCATGCGTCCATATAAAAAAAAATATATTGTTACAAATTGTCCTTGGAGGATTTTTGGTGTTCTTGACTTTTTAGATACGTTCTAAGTAAATGATTTTATTTTTTATATAGAAAATAAAGATTAATTTCACGAGTGCTACAACAATAATTATTTTATGTGCTGATATTAATATTTCTAATATAAATGAATGTTATTGTTTATAATTGTCATATTTAAAATAAAAATAACAAAGGTAACATCTAAGACAGTGTTCTGTATTTAATTTCTTTAGGAGAGGGAAAAGGAGCAGGTAATTATTTATAAATTTAATAAAAATAGGCATCGATTTAGATGGATAACATAATTTCACATATAAGCTGATACATTTGCCTTATTAATCTAATGCGTTAATATATAATATGAAAAGAAATTATAAATTATTGTATTACTCAAAATTGAACTGATATAAGTAGCATAAATCATTGAATTACAATGCAATTTAACACGAGTAATATTCAATATATTGCAATCATAAGTATAATTATCTAAATTTGACTCTTACGAAAATAAACGATAGACGAACGAATAATTTGATTATTTTTTTATCACTCTATAAAATATTCAACGATAACTTTTAAGAGTTTCTCCGCAGAATAAATTCTATTGCGTTTGTATGAACGAACACTTTTTCAAATTTCATAAGATTTAATATTTCGTCAGAATGCGTAATGTGACATACAACGATTACATGTTAACGCGATTTTCTTTTCCTTATGAAAAATCAATATACTTACTCTATAATAATTTACTCTACTCGAGTAAATGAATAAATGTTTGTCAATATTGATTATGATCTATATAACTTCAATATATCAAAGCTGAATCGAGTTAATAATTTATTATTAAATTAATTATAAGTAATATACAAAATAGAAGAAGAAAAAAAATGGATGCCCGCTTGACTATAAATCAGAGAATTAAATATATTGTTATACAAGTGTACATTACTTGACGACTATGAAAAATTATTCCATGACAAGCGCAATACTTAATAGATAATACGACGATTAAATTTCCATTACTATAGTTTATTAATTATTATTCTCAATTTATAAATATACGAGCAACATCCCCGCGATATGTTCATTTTTAACATAAAGTTTAAAATAATTTATAATATACGCTTTTCAAAGTATTTAAATAATTTTTAAGGTGGCGTAACCTCGCTAATCCCAAAAGCGAAGCAACACGAGTGAAAAAGCTATGGGACGAAGACTCGACTCACCAAGTTGCGCCCCGGCAAAGACGAGAGAGCCTATTTTGGAGCGCTCTTCTGGTGGCGTCCACTGGGCGAGCATCGCGTTCAGCGCCGGGAACGTCGTGCCCTCGCCGAGGCCCATGAGCACCCTGAGGACGATGAGAGCGACACTGCCCCCAGCCTCGACCGCGATCGGTGTCAGTAGCGTGAAGAAGGCCGTTGAGAGAATACCCAGGCCCAGGGAGTATTTGCCGCCGAAGCGCTCGGCGAGCATTCCACCGGGAAGATGTGTCAGCACGTAGCCCCAGTAGAACGACGAAAGGATTATTCCCTACGAACCAGAACGACATTTATAATACGAGTCAATTGTCCGAGTACATCGTTCTTCAAACTCAATGCAAAATTAGCTTGAGCTCTACATGTGAGTTTTTGAGATAAATGTGAGACTTGAGTACTCTTTAACTATTGGGTAGTCGCAGTTCCTTATGCTCAGAATTGTTATTGCCGTTGCAGTATCGAGCATGTTTGCTTATTGAGGTAATTATTATAGATCATTACATGATATCGGCAATGTAAGTAAGAGTGGTTTTGTAGTGCAACCTGCTAAACATTTTGATAATGTGCACTATAAATGCTTTATTTTGTAAAACGTTTGACGATATTATTATAAATCATGTCATTTGCATATTTTATCGTCTAAACGAAAAAAGTGAATAATAAGTACATTTGTGTAGTGCTGATCATTGTGTTAAGCAGTTATCGCGATTGTCATCCAATTGCGATAAGTAATGCTACCTGCAGAAATGTTACAGCTTTCGAAATATACTAATAATCACAACTTTTATTAAATTATGTAGGCTGTTACGTTGAATATATAGTTTTTGAGGAATAAATTGAAATCGTGTTCATCGCTTCAAATAGATTTAATGTTCATTTAGTGAATATTTGTAGACATAAGATAAGCATTGCCTTATGAAGTATTTCATTGAAATATAAATATGATTCTCCTTCTGTATTTAACTTATTTAAACCTAAATATTTAAACAAAAACAAATTTATTATTAGAAAATTATTTTCAAACAATGAAGTAAAAACAAGCGTTGGCATGAATTGTTAGTTGTGAGAAGGCTATATTTTTAAATAATAATGCATAACCAACTGTTAATAAAGAATGTATTGGGTTTTTTTTTTTTTTTTTTTTTTTTTTTTTTAAATTTTTTTTTTTTTTTTTTTTTTTTTTTAATTAATATTTGTAATACAATTGTCGCGAATGTAGATTATCGTAATTAATTGATCGACAATCCAATTACATATGTCAAAACAATCAGATAAATTGTCTGCGTACGTCTTGAACAATTTATCGTAATATTTTAGCTTGAATCAATAGAGATTGACATCAATTATCGTAATACCTGATTTTTTTTTTTTTTTTTTTTTTTTTTTCTTAAATACTCGTATATACAGAAACTCTTACATATACGTATATCAATATTTAAAAAAAATACATAATATGTTTTACGTAATATATTTACTCAACGTAATAACTAGATTCTTTTTTTCTGTTCGGCAAATAACTTGGCACACATAGGCAATCACATCTTTGTAAAAATCAATAATTAAGTTAAATTCATCATAAATTAGGAAATAAATCAATCTCGTTCAGACATTTTTATTTTTATTTATTTATTTAGAGTTAATTGTAAAATGAAATTGTCTTAAGTCTTCTTGGCAATAATTTGTGAAGATTGTGCACTAGCATTTTTATAAAAATAGTATAAATCAATTTCAATTTATGAATATCATTCTGATTTTGTTTATTTAAAATAATATACGAATAAATCTATATGTGATTCTTTAAATTTTCTTTCCTATTTCCAGTATGTCATAATAAAAATTAACATTCTAAAAATGGTCAGTTTTATTTAATGTTGCATAATAGTTGCTAATCTTTAATAAGTTTGCCATAACATATATATTCGCATATCTTCGTAAATTATTTAAGGAGGAATTGTCGATTACAGATTACTTGTCTGTACGTTATTCTGACTTACAAAAGCACAATAAATCTTATGAAATAAACAGCCTTAATTTTTTTTTTTGTTTTTTTTTTGAAAATTAAGAATATATGCATTGGATGATCAAAATTATTCAGTTGATTAGATTGTAATACAATATTGCGTTTTAATAGCTTTAAAGAATCTTTAATTGTCTCAATACGTATTATTAAATTTTGCGTAATTAACGAAATTGCAGTGATTTGTCAAATCGAACGATTTAATCTTATGATCGAAGTAACTAAAAAGCACCAAATTTAACATAAAGTGAAATCTGTACTCTTGAATTTATCGCGACAATGTTACATAAGTAATTATTCAACTTATTCTAAAAACTCAATATTCCCGTATTCATTAAAAAAAGTTTTCCAATGCTTCGAAAAACATTTAGTCATTACTGTTCGTGTTATTATATATATATATATATATATATATATATATATATATATATATATATTAGCGTAAAATTTAACTAAACATTGCTAATATAGTATTATAACCGCAGATTCAGCAAATTTTCTAATCTCAAAGTATTAAAAAAAAAAAAAAAAAAAAAATCGTGTCCACCGGCCGTACTCGTACACGTGCATTTACAATGAGTATCATTAATTCGAAATCACCGTACAATTCGAGTAATCTATGCCGCAATGACGATTGCTGAAACTCAAATTGCGATAAAAGCGAGAAAACGAAATCGATCGTTATCACCGCGCTTGATCAATTAGAAGAGATTAGCAATCAAGGGGCTCGTAAGCAATAAATCCAAGTAGAACGAAAGATCGGTCTCACCTGCTCCTCCTCGTTCCAGTTGTAGATGCCCTTGTTGGTATTGTCGGCGGTGGAATTCCCGGATATGTGGATATTTGACGGGCAGCTTCCGTCGGCGATGGTTGAACTATTCGGCTGCATTACCATTTCCGTAATGGCGATGGACAGACAGACGCGCATCGCGTAGGCATTCAAAAGTGCGAGGAAACCCATCAACGCGAAGATCCATCGTTGCGGCACGTAGATACCTATGCACGACGTGGAAGAGTTAGTGGAAAGATGATTTTTAGATAGAATGCCTTGGAGCACGTCCTTGTTGTGAAAAACAGAGAGTTACATGGAGGAAGGAGATGATTAGCGTTATCGCAACTGGGTGTTTGTTATTTTGTTATTATTACAGTGTATTCAGTCGGATTTATCGTCGTTCATTTTTCAATTTTCATCTTCAAACATTTGCTTTCTTTATTAAACATTTGCTCGACACTCACGAAATGATCCCATTATAATTTATAAATGAAATCATTTTACGTAGAGCTGTCATTCTTTTGATAAAAGCCTTACTCTTTTTTTTACTTTTCAACTTATTGAAAATGCGAGTGTTCGGTGTCTGTGGAATTTCATGCTTCGTTACAAAAAAAAAAAAAAAAAAAAAAAAAAATCATCGGAATTTTCTGTTATTTCTCTGATTCGAACGATTACCAATAATTGCAAATTCTTTAATTTATTTACATTAAATCATATCAATGCATTGATATATCTAATAAATGTGCGCTTGTATATTCGTAATTGAGCTACCAATCAAATAGAAAGAACATTCACTTACACGCATGTATAAAGTGACAATTTGATTGTAAAGAAAATGTCAGATAAACCAATATTTTTTTTTAATGCAAAAATGATAAATGAGCCAATAAAATTAGTATTGAAATTACTACTCATCATTATATCATTATCTTTTTATAACAGTACTAATATTGTAGAAATAGATTTTTTAACAACAATACTTACTGCCTTTAATTAGTTTAAACGCGTATAAATGATTATTTAGCAGAGAAAATCAGACATTCAAAGCAACAACGACGACGGCAGCAACAGCAACAGCAACAGCAACAGCAACAGCAACAGCAACAACAACAACAACAACAACAACAAAATTACAACGGTAAAATTTATTGTATTTAACGTCGATCTAAATTATTCGTGCCGATATAATTGATTTGCTTTGGAAATTCACAATATCGTTGAATCGGTAGCCCATTCCAGCGTACGCAATTTCCAATTATCGTCATGCTGGCTTTAAGCCGTTAACCAGGAATTCGAAATTTCTCCCAATCGATTTTTGTTCTAGCATTCTAGCACGACACTCGACACACTCGGCACTCGAAATCTTACGAAATGTCAAACGAAGTCCGCGCCCCTCTACGCTAACGAAGCATGAGCGTGAATACGTACCGGACACATTCGCACAACTGCACTGGCTTTCGGGACATAAATCCGGCCAGGATGATCCTTCTTATCGAATTGTTCACGAGACTACTTGTCCGGCTACACCAAACGCTATAAGAAATCCGGGATAACGCGGCTCCGGTTTTCCGTTGCGGTAACGGTTGGGCGACCATCCACTTCATATCGGAAGCCTCTACCATGGCTGCACCAGGAAGCGCAGTCCTCGTTGTCGGCTCATCGGTATGCTGATTATCGAAGGCGCGCGCGCGCGCGCGTACTCATGATTTCTAATCGGAAGTACCTGGCGATGCCGATGCATGGCCACGACGAAGGCCACGTGCTGAGGAGACTCGACTACGACCTTTGCTTAGGCGGTTGTGCAAGAGCACTGATGAAAACGCGCGGTTTCGCAAACGCCTTCCTTCCTCTTCCTCTTTCGAGCTTCCGAGCTGCCCAAAAGCCACGCGCTGAGCCTTACGTAATTCCCAATGCTTTACGTAATTGTTCGCGCTTCTCTATTTTCCTCTCCTCCTTCTTCATCCTTTTTTGAAAAATTAGTCACGACGAGTGACTGGCTTAGGAGCTTGGAATTTACGTAAAGGAGGCAAAATTCCAAAGTGTGCAGGGATCGATTCCATTCGGGCTTAGAACGTTGGATGCTATGGCGCGCGCGTCCGGCCGATTTCGTCTCGTACTCCCAATGCCAATTCGAGGCTCCTTTGAGTGACGCCGCGGAGAAATGCATGCGATAACTCATCCTCGTTATCCGCTATGCCAATGACGTCGATTTCCATGAGCCCGCGTGCGCGCAATTATCAAACGACAGTTGGTAGCATCACTCGCCCCCTCCCCTAACCCTCTTAACGGCCATCCTCGTTTAGTGTGCGCCTCGTTACAACGCGCGACCGACTCGCAAATCATTATTTCCTATCTGTCTTGGCATTTCCACAATTATTTTACTTTCCTTTCTTCTCCGATTGATAAGATACCAGTCGCGATACCGCTCGGCATATTTTCGCTCTTTTATTCTGACTTTTCGCAATTTTTACGCCAATTGTCGATCGTTTAGATTTTTCAACGATTTCTTGTGCGCGCGCACGTGCCAGAACGATACCAAACGAGAAGAGCAATTGTCGCTCGCATTTGCAACTTCGCTGATCGATGATATTACTCTAGAAAATCCAATAAATCGTTTTTTGTACACGGAATTCTAACTTTCTTTTCCTCGCAATCCAATAAGTCTTGCACAATGATTACATTCATAATTATTAATTAATTAAATAATTAAAAATGTGCATAAAGTACATAGATTACTTTGCTCAGATTGTCTCAAAATTAATGCGTGTTTCGTTTGATAAAGTCAATCAAAATGTAACGTCGAAGCGTAGTTGGACTTTTCAAACTATAATATAAATTATTAATAATTCATGATTTATATCGTATTCTTAATTAGCATCGTTTCTTCGGAGTAGCGATACTCCAATCTTAGACGAATTATTCAGAGCAGTCGGGCAGTATTTCAGAGTTACCGGACTGTCTACTAACACCAATAGTATTTCGTTCGCTAATTTTTTACTCGTCGTTCCCTAAACCATACATAAGCATCTATGAATTTACGATGGCAGCTAAACATTATATTTATCTCCCAAATTCATAAATTTGTATACTTTATGATTTATATATATTTTAAATATAGCCATAATTGTTCGTTCCTGCCCTTTGTTCGATACAAATACTCGTGGTTAAATTAACAATTGATCATTATTTTATTCTGTAATATTTCAGCAGCAACAACAACAACATTTTCTTAAACATATATATTATGTTTACTTAAGCAAATTACAATATCCTCGTATTTTATAATAATAATGTATAAAATTTTAATTTACGCACGTGCTGCGTTTTAAGTCTGTACTTCCGCCTGTAAAATATTAATACACGATTTAGCATTTAAACTAAAGTTTATCAACTTGCACTTAGCACAGCAGAAACAAATGGAATAAATGGCGCAGTTTTGTTTGTATATTAACGTATGATGCAATTTTGTTTTCTTTTTCTGAAGAATATCAATGCGTACACAATGTTTTCATTTCAGATTAGCCTTTGTTACCATGTAATATCTAACAGTAATAAGCTTTGCAGTAAATTGCAATAAACGACCTTTTACACGTCTATTATTTATTAAAATATCAATTAGGAGGAACTTAATTATGCTTACGGTAAAAAAAAAAAAAAAAAAATAATAATAATAATAATAATAAAAAATAACCTTAAATACAATTATTTCTGGCTCATTGATGAACAATCGAATTTGTATACATAACATACGAGTTTTGCATAATGTATTTTATTCGTTATTTAATAAGACAAAAAAAAAATTGAAATTTATATAATTCGAAAATAAAGTTAAATATTATAAATTCATATTTACCAATAAATACTTAGGTGGATAATAGTGAAAAAATAAATAATTTTTTGTGATTATTATACGATCAAAAAAAAAAAAAAAAAACAACAAACAAAACAAAAACAAAAAAAAACAAAAATAGAAAAACTTTAATGACGACCGATTTAAGAATAATAATGGCTGAAAATACTTTAAATTACCATAATATAGATTGGATAGCGTGAAGAAGCTTTAAAATAATTTAGAATCATATATATATATATATATATATATAATGAACATTGTATATAATTTACTTTTAATGCTTATTATATTTATATAAGATATTATAGCGAAATAAAACCCTGAATTAATCTTAAAAATTTTAAGGAAATATTTTTGAAATGCGTAAATGACGATGGAATAATAAATCTTATAGTAAAATTCTATCTTTACATTAAAACATTGAAATAATAAATAAAAATCATAATTTTTAAATACCTTATATATTAATTAATGATCATTAAATGAAAAATTATAATTTCACATATACATTTATATGATTTAACGCGCATTTAACAAAAATGAATCAATTAACTTTTTTTGTTTTATGATATTATATTTATCTGAAATTTCAGTAATCAATTCAAAAGGCTGTTTTCATCTGAAAATATTTAAATCATGAAAATGCATCTGTTTTTACATGGTAAGAGAGTCGAGGTACTTTTACATTATAGAGCTAAACGAAATACTTTCATTACAAAGTTATTGAAAAATGTATATCTGATTAGTGGGCGATTTAAACGTATTAAAATTGGACAGCAAAACCCTATGGATGCAATTTATCTTAAATGAATTATGCGTAAAGTAAACCAAACTACTCTCTCTCTCTCTCTCTCTCTCTCTCTATATATATATATATATATATATATATATATATAGGTCAAAACTGTAATTAGAGTTTTAGTAGATGACGATTTGATAAATAACTTGAAAGATATACAAATTGCGACTAATTTAATATGGGGATGAGAGCGCTTTGCGGCGTAATACGAATGGCTCATAATTTTATGAGCCGCATCTCCTCGAACGACGCTTATCTCATTAATTGTGCGATTTCAAGTCCAAAGCAGAAACTTGGCAAGTTAATAAAGTAATGGATTTAATTTTCAATATTGAGAAATTGTGAACTCGCCGTAAAAATCGCAACAGGATACGAACGAATTATTTCTAATAAACAACATTTTCAATTGTATCTCGATTTATGGCAGAGGCTTTTGTTTAAGCTCAAATATTTCACGATCGTGTACTTCTTAAAAAAAAAAAAAAAAAAAAAAAAAAAAAAAAAAAAAGGCGGCAAAAAATTCAAATAAAAAAGTAATCTTTGCGCGTGCAAGCGTGTGTGATTACTTGGAAGCAAAAGAAACTAACGCGCTATATTCTAAGACGTAAACGTAATTTAAATGATTTATTTGAGATTAGATATGAAAAATATAAGACAATGCGCGCGCTCCTTCTACCTACACACGCACACGTAAAATAACATACGTGCGACGGCGCTGGCACTCATTTAAAAAAATTAGTTATTATATATCACATCACTGTATAGTGTGAGCATTCAATCCAATTTTATAAACATATTAATATTAATGTTATAATAATGTTATAATTACCGTCAGATATTATTCTTTGTGCTTTATTATTTTGTAAGTATAGTTCTTTTTTTTTCTATTTTTTTTTTGTTTTTTTTTTTTGTATCTGTTTTAATATTATTTAACGTTAATTGTCACAGAGTTACTGTTTTCATGTTTCCTTGAACAACACTAATTAAGTGCATTGTTTTCTATTAATTGTCCATTATTTTTATTAGATTGTAGTATGAAAAGATTGATTAAAGCTCTGATTTCTGAAGCAATCGTCATAAAGTGTCGATGTGTTTTTCTCTCGAAATATTTAATGTCGAAAGCGTTTAAAGCTTTCTCGCGAAAAAAAGCGCTTACATGGACTTTGCTGTGCTCGGTCAAGTATAACAATTTACATTCGTCGCTTAATATAATCAAACGCTACACTTAATAACGAGAGTATGTCGTTAGCAATTGATTTTACTGAAAATAAAAAATAAAATAAAATAAAAGTGCAACGCGACTGAGGCGAAGGGCCAAGATGAAACAAAATTTAATAGACCATTTGCATAGCAGACGGAGAGTGGGGGATGAGCGATTGAGCCGAGAACGAAATGTGACGCACCGCAGCCACTTAAAAAAGGAAGAAAGGAGACAACATGCAGGCAGACACTCGGATGAGCGTAAAGGGTGTGTGTACTCACAACAGGACTTCCAGTTGGCGAACATGACGATCGGCGTGCAAGCTGTAAGGATGTCCGCGACTCACAGAGTTACTAGCACTGCGTGTTAGCGTTGTCGTTCGCGCGAACGAGACTCTCGTGCACCATTGACGCTCGAGAATCGTCGACCGGGCCGCCTTCCACGTGGAAATCGTGCAGGGAGTGGGGTCGTCAGGTGGAGAAGGAGTAGGAGGAGGAGGAGGAGGAGGATGATTTGGTGGAGATGGAGGCGGAGGAGGAGGAGGAGGATGATTTGGTGGAGGTGGAGGTGGAGGAGGAGAAAGAGGAGGAAGAGGCGGAGGAGGAGGAGGAGGAAGAGGATGAGCCGAGAAGGACCGAAGTTCGGCGAGATGGGAAAAGAGGGGAAAGGGAGCTCGAGGGTAAAAGTGGTGATAGTGGCAGCAGTTGGGATGGGAAGACGGAAAGGAGGGTCAGGTGGCGTTCCGTGAGAAAGATCAACGTGAGAATAGAGAATGAAGGAGGTGATGACTGATGATGACGATGACGACAAATGATAACGATGAGATTGACGATGTAAGGTGGTAGTTGTGCTCGAGGTGATCGTGGTGCTAGTGGAGGTGGTAGGGGTAGTGGAGGGGGGTGGTGGTGGTGGTGGTGGTGGTGGTGGTGGTGGGGGGGGTGATCTTGTACTTGGATGGCACCACGGAATTTCCGTTCCGCTCGAACCTCGAAGCGATCAGTTCTGCAGCTTCGAGTTTTCATACTCGGTAGCATTCCACGAAGTTAATAACTCGCAGTTTTGCTCGTTTTTTCCATGCTGTTTCCATCCTTTTTTTAGCTAACGCGGCCAAATCGAAGGCTTTAAGCGCAGCAAAGTTTCGGCGCAGACCAACTAGAAATAATAGAAATGCGCGCAGAGATTTATTATCGGTCTTTAAATCTTAGTTGCATTACGGTTAATGGCCGATAATCCTCAGAAATTTTTAGTAAAGTTGTCCAAGATGGGGGGTGGTGGTGGTGGTGGTGAGGGTGTCGGACGCGTCGCTTCGACTGGCCGCGCGCCACTGCTAATTTCGCCTTTTATTCGCTTGCACCCGGCATTGCGCCGATACGATAAGAGTACCAGCAGAACGTGTCTAACCGTCCGCGTTTCCGTCGCCACTCGATCGCGCGAGATAATGAGATCCACGAGTATTTAGGAGCTATCGAAGAGGTGCGAGCGAGACTAAATTTCTTATAAGAACCTGCGAGCCTTTGAGGCTAAGTGTTTTCTCCACTTACTGGGCTGCAATAATGCCTGGGATAATGGTATTTCGTGGTCCTTGAATGGGAACTTCTTCCCAATTGACTGGAGCTTTACACATTCAAGTGTGAAGTTATTCTGTATTTGTATTTTCCTCCGTGCGCATTACTATGACATTTTTGTTTATGTTAATGTTACATTATAAGATTTTAGTTATTCATATACATATTTTTTTTTTTTTTAGCACATAAACAAAATTTAGATTGTTCGAAAGCTGCTTATATTTCTTAAGTGCGTATGAGAGAAATTGAAGAAAGTATATACGATGTTTCAGCATTCTTATGTCACTAAAGTAAAAATATTTTATTTCTTATGTTTTTATTATTCTACGCTTTTTTTTTTTCATTAGATTAAATAAAAATTTAATTAAATTTGTTTTTTACTTACACTTTAATAATAAGAATATTGACAATAAACGACAAATACAACGTTTGTTATTAAATTTATATCTAATAGTATATTAATTTGCATGATAATTAATAGATAATTTGTATGTTAACTAATGAATCTAATAATTCGGAAGTAATTGCAATCGTACTTAATATTAAATTTAAATAACTAATTAAATTATCGATAATGTAGTTGCTTTATGTCAAAACTTTATTTAGCTCTTATTACAATACAACATTATTGTATTGTATTACTGTGTTGTGTCTTAAAACTTTTATTAAATAATATCAAAAAAGTTTTTTTTTTTTTTTTTTTTTTTTTTTTTTTTTTTTATTAAATGCAACATGTACATATAAGATAAGAATTTTGTTCTCACCAAGGACAATTCTTACAATTTAATGTACGAATTTATTGTAACCTTGAAATTTGTGTCGCGGTATAATTCACGCTGTGAATACGAATTTTATCAATACACTTACTAACTAACGATTTAAAATCTCTTGCTATATCGTGCGTTGAAAATTTTCACTTAAACAACAATTAAAAATTTAAAAATTTCATTTAAGTATAATTTAATTCTATCAAAGTCTTATAACATTTACATTATTCAATTAGTACAGCATGAGGAATATTTGTTCGATAAGAGGATAATTATAACTCTAATTTAATATTAAATAGAGCACTCGATTAAATAAAAATACTCGAAATTTGTAATCGATGAAATGTATGAAAATATTTAATATTAAATAGACAATGTAAATGAAAATAGCTAAAACCTAACTTGTCAATAATCTCTTAGCAAAAATTCACGTGGTGATGTAAATAAAATTACTCGTACAAGTTAAAAATAATTATTCTATGAAGAATTTGTAATCAAGACCCATCTTTATAAAGTTATTTCCCCTAATTCATATTATTATCAAATATTCGAGAAAATGTTAAAACTCTATACGTATACGGCCTTTCAAAGCATTCGAGCATTAAAATTTAAAAAAAAAAAAAAAAAAAAAAAAAAAAAAAAAATTAATCCCAATAATACAATTTAACGAGATAAGATCCAAGATAAAATTCATAAGATTATTCGTTCTTCCAATTTAATTACTTCTTTAACCCTACATAATCAAATTAGTCGCTGGCATTACTTATATTGTCGGGTCGTGAGAAGACGGACGGACTTGTATTAAACTAAATGTAAACTAAATTAAGCGTTGTGAATTAATGTTTTTCATTATAAAGCAACATTATCCCATATTACTGTTGATAATCACTTTTTTTTTTTTTTTATATGTATATGATCTACAAGTAATAAACGTCAGTTTACGAACTAAGCTATATTTTCAGTCTCTTTTTATTACCGCAATTTTATTATTTTTTAAAATTAATTTAATCAAGGAGAAAATATAGTAAACAGATAAATGTGAATTGATTCAATGCTATAAAAAAAAATTGTTGCTTAGTAAGCTATAATATAAACAAAACAAAGAGA